TATTAATAATCTATATGTTAAGACAAATCAAACAAGATCACACATGACTATATTTAGGCTTACACAATGAGAGAATTTGATGAGTCAAAGTGTTTAGATGAACAGTTCCAAAAGTCAAAAGTGGACGAATATAGCGGGACGGAGGGAGTATCATTTAGTGATTTTAGAACATGAAAAAACTATTTCCATAAAAAATGACATAGAAACTAATAATGAAACATTACACATAGCTCGAAACAGATTCTCGACATCGCAGATAACAAAAGAAACTTAAAGCATTTAATCATTGATATACTAAACCATTGAAATCTTTGACCTAAGATTCGTTCGTGAACCTCGTGATTAGATCTGAATGATAAAGTACTCTGATTTGAACATTATGTTAAACCTCTCTATGTGAATCATAAAAATATCGATGCGATTTTGTTATCTCTGAATATTATTATCGATGATCTTGACGATCAATGAACTCTGTTTTGACCCTAGCAAGGGAACGCTACGCAACAATCAAAAGAAGAAATGACATCATAAAGAGTTAAAGAACATTTTGAATTGAACCCATATCTTCATAAGAACGTCGATGAACTCGAAGGAACGACAAGACTATCTTGCGCTATGTCACATGATAAATTCGTGGATTGAATTATGTGTCGAAGATTTTCTCTTCTTTCCTCGAGACGATATTAACCACAGTATTACAAATCAAACTTGTCACCATCATGAACGTATCTTGATATACTTCCAAATCGATGAAAGTAAGTTGATTACAATGAAATGAATATGAGACCCACTTGAACGTCATCACATATGAACTTGAATTGATTCAGAGACTCATTGACGGTAATGAGCACTACCGTGAAGATAACGAAGAAAATGGTTCAATCTAAGATCGATGATCAATCGACATTACTTCCTGACTAATGGTATCAAGTCCAACAAAATCTTGAACCATTAAAAGCCATTGATATTACTTACAAGTCATTTCTAAACTATATGAACGATGTAAAGATGTCTTGAGTGACTTGAAAGGTTACACCATGACGTATGAATTGAAATAAAATCCAAATCCCCAACCATACCTACTGTGAATGTGATGATTCGAAACTACAGAGGCTATTGAAAATTTTTCAATCAAAGAAAGAATATTGTTGACCAATGACGTAGAATCGAGATTGTGACTAAACGAAGTTATGTGCAAATATGCCAAGTATACTCCAAAATACGATGTGATACTCCACAAAGGAACCTTAGTTACTGACGTTGACTCTAAACATGAACTTGCAAAAAAGATCATTGGATGTCTTGCTTAATCTAAAAATATTAATTTCTTGAAGAAAGAATGAGTTTGATGACACTGAAGGTTTGAGAATATGTATCTGTGTGGATAACGGCGTAATCGTGATTTAACAGAATGAACATGACGCGATCATAATTAACGTGAGTACAAAAAGATGTTGATTGTTGAGCCCTACAAGAATTTTGAGGACGAAATTCCTTTAAGCTAAGGGGAAGAAATGTAACACCCCAAAACATACCCTAAAATTATTATTGAATTATTATTCAATTCAACAAATTTGTTTTGATTAAAATAAATTATTGTTGCGATTTGAGCTGAAATGAAATATGTTTTGATATCAAATATCACAATCTAGATAAATCTCATAATGATAAATTCAATATGTTGACTTTATGTCTGATCTTAATTGGGAACTAGAGTACGGACCCAAATTATGAATAAAAAAAAAATTGTTTATGATGTAAACTTTGAAATGATTTATTAAAATAAATCATGAGAATAAGTAATATGAATTGAATGAAAGAAACTTTTTAAACAAAGGTCAATTAAATCAATTTTGACTCTGTCAAAGTCAAACACCCAAAAATATGCTGTCGGAAAAAGCATTACAAATAAATGTAAAAATTCTATCGTTGAATAGAGTTTAACTGTCTGATCGCAACGGTGCAAACGGATTTCAATTCGAAGAAAAGTTGAACCAAAAAGTGTACCCAACTTGAACCAAATTAGTCACAATGAGGGAATGACGTGTAAAATCCTACGAATCGGCTGTCATGTGCACTACGCCGATCACACGATTTCTGAAAGAGAAATCCATGGTTTCTTCCTCATCACAACCACTATATAAGCCCACCTCAACTCCCTCATATCTTCACCATTCTTCACAATTCTTCATTCTATTCTGTTTCTTTGTTGAGAGAGGAGTACAGTGGGAGCTAGTCACAAACCTCGCTGGAAGTTTCTCTGGAAAATTTCCAAAACATTCATTTAAACTCGAGGTAAGCCCTTACATATATCTAGTGATTAGAATGTTCATATACATCGTTTCTACGATCATAAATAGTCGTTTGGTTGAGTTTCCTGTATGACATGTTTGAAGAACCAAGAATCATAAACCCTGAAATTGTTGTTAAAACTACGAACTAATGATACCAAAATGATCTATGAACCTTGGAGAACATTTCTATATACTTTAATTGAAGTTTGGTGGCTAAAAATAAAATTTCCGAAAATTGACCTGAAGTTGAAGATGACACTTTTAAAATTTACACGCAAAACGGTATCACCCTACCGCCCGGACGGTACCGTGGTACCGTAACACGGTATTGAGGTACTGTAACGGGTATCGTCTAAAACCCAATAATCTGATTTTTGAACTATTAAATCATATTTTTGATACCAATCAATTATGATCAATAAAAAAATGATTCTTGGAAATAAATACTCCCTCCGTCCCCCTAAGATTTTCTCATTTTGATTTTTTGCGGTTTTTAAGGAGAGTTAAAAAAAGGTGAAAGTTTACCAAAATAACCTTAATGAAAATGGGTGGGGTGTATTACATAAGGTGGAAAAGGTGTAATAATTAAAGTAAGTGGGGGTAGTTGTGGTATTTTAATTATTAAAAAAGGTAATGAGAAGATCTATGTGGGACAAATAAAAAGGGCTAATGGGAAGATCTATGGGGGACTGAGGGAGTATAATGTTTTAACAAATTCAAGAACCTTGTTTGATGCATAATGGTAAGCTAGGGTGTTAACACTCGACGCTAGGCCGCTATTTGTTAAGGAATATTATGATGATAATGATTGAATATTGATTATGATCAAACCCTGATAAATATTTTGATCGAATGATTATTATAATGAATAAACCATAATGAAATGTCGTTGATAACAATTTCTATTAAAAATTGATAATGACAATTAGATGGATGACCCGTGTGATTATGATTATATAATGATAACGATCTTACTTTGACGAAATACTAAAATATGGTATTGAATAAATAAACCGTAAGAATGAAATTGTGAATAAATACGTTCGTTTGATTATCGTGATTTAAGTGATGATTATGAATTAATGAACCATGATTTAAAATGAACAGATTGATGAGGAAGAAAACAATGTGTATTGTTAAGGCTATCTAGAAGATCTCTAAGATAGACCTCAAATTAGAATGGACTTGTGTGTATAAATATGTATATTCGATGTTTTGGATAAAAACATGCGAATGGGAATCATACACCAAATTAGAGGATCACTCATTTGGAAATACAACTCGACCCGACGATGATTAGTCCATGTTCTGTTGTTTCCTTAAGGTGACTACAGTTTAAGAATCTGGGAATATTTGTCTTAAACTAATTGTAATTTAAGAGTCTGGTTATCAATTGCCTCAAACTAACCACAGTTTAAAGAGTCTGGTCACTCAATAAAATAGCCTTAAACTAACCATAATTTAAGAGTCTGGCTAACAATATGAAATAGCCTTAAACTAGCCATAGTTTAAGAGCCTGGTTATGAAAATATGGATTTGGCCTTAGACTAATAAAAGTTTAAGAGCGTTGTTATGATTTGTCCTTACACTAAAAATAGTTTAAGAGCATTGTTACCATTTGGCCTTAGATTAGGAATAATTCAAGTGGACTGTCGAAATAATGAATATTGAATATTTGAATTGATAAGAATTGAACATTATCATGAAGAACGAATATTTGAATTGAATATTGTGTGTATGATATCAAATGATTTGATTATGAATTAAGATTCAATTTATATGGATGTTCAATGCATTAGATATCCTTACTCAACTTCAACGTTGATCGTGTAGTATGTCTTATTTGCTACACGCAGGTGAATAGAAAGAATGATTTGGCGTGATCTTGGAGGCAAACAGAAGCGAGATGGTCAGGATAGATTTGATAATTTTGAATTGAAGGACATAAATTAATTATGTTTCGTGATTATGATTTGTTAAGCTTCTGCAACATTAAAAACTCCGTACTTTTTATGTTATGAAAAATATTATTGTGATGAATAAAAGTATTTGAAATGTTTTAAATTTTTATAATTATCAAGTTTATATACTTTAATCTAAAAGGGGCTGCAGACCTGTACGGATTAGAGTGTTACACCAAACCCCCTTAGCCTTATGCACCTCATGACTCCAGCCTGGCTAGCCTCCCCATTCATTTTGCTGTTTGGCAAAATTATAGCCGAATGATTAAAAAGAGGAGAGGTAGTAGGGGTTAGGGTGGTATATAAGGGTGCGGGCTTAAAATTTAAATAATATTATATTTTTTTGACAACATTAGATAATATTGTTAACACTTAAGGTCTATGCTTATTATATGGATCTTAGTGCATTTGTAGTACAAAAAAAATGTTTTTCAAAAAAAAGTTCAAATGAAAGCTCACTAAAAATATAAAAAGATCTATAGTTTAAAGATGAACTTTAGAATCATGTAAGCATGTACAATGACAGATTGTGATTGTGAAAGGACCATTTTTTTTATAGTTATGTCCCGGACTCCAACACATACGGGGGGAGGAAAGCCCATGAAAGAAATTTATGCGGCCCGAAAGACGGCCCACGAAAATGAGGAAAAACAAGGAGGGTGTACCACATAGAATTATCATCCCCCACCGCTAGGGTTTATTTTAAAGATCAGGCAGGTTCCACTTCACTCCTCCATTTCCGCCTCTGTCTCTCTCTCTCTCTCTAATCTCTCACTCTCTCTGTAATCTCTCCTGGTTCGTTATTCCTTGTCCTCGATCCGTTCCAATGGAGTCCAATCAGTAGACTTTCTTCAATTGTCCGAAAATCTCAGCTCAAGATTCCAGGCTCTAGATACAATCTCCCCGTATCTACCTCAGATGGCGACTAGCAACCCGTTTGATCTTCTGGGCCACGATGACAACGATGACCCAAATCAGCTCGTCGCCAAGCTTCCTGTTCCTCCTCCTGCTCAGGTTCCTCGGAAGGCTACTGTTCAGCCGGCCGCCGCCGCTGCCAGAATGCCCTCTAAGCCTCTACCTCCGGCCGAGGCCGGTAATTTCCAAGTCACCTTCGTTAGATTGATTTGTATCTTGATTTCGCGGTTATAATCATGTTCATAGTTTTGAAATCCTGATTTGTGATTTGATTGCTGCCGAAATGAGTGGACATGAGTGATGAATGGGAATGATTTGATTTGCGGTATTGCTTTCTGAACTTTTGGTTACCTGTCAGAGTTTTTGAAATTTGTTTTCCGCTTGAAATGTGCTCCCTGTTCTTAATCTTAGATTGCCTCTCTATTGTTTACTTGTTTTTCTTGATATGTATATCTGTATGCATAGAATCGTGTTCAACCTTATAGTTTGCATTGCGAGTTTTTTTTTGATAATTTACCTTGCATGCCTCATTGTATTGCACGTCTATTAATGGGTTCTCATTGCAAAGACTGTTTTTTGCTAACAACACAACAATTGTTAGGGAACAATCCTTCATTTTACTACCTCTTTTATTGATCTATATTAGGCATTACATGTTTCTTGAAAAACTAGAAATTGTGTGGATGAGATTTATTTTGAAGAATGAAATCTTCAATACCTTTTCCTAAAAATAAAAGATGGGTTTCTTGAGTATAATGAAAGAAATGAATATTTAGAAGCAATTGAGTAATTCTTATTACACTTTTTGTGCAAGTTTACATATAAAAGTTAATTCTTGTTCTGCTCTAATAAATTTTTTGCAGTGAGGGAGAGTAAAAGTGAATATTCACGAGGAGGAGCACGTGGTGACCCACGTGGTGGTGGCCGTGGACGTGGTAGGGGCCGTGGCCGAGAGTTCAATCAGGACTTTGTGGACACAGAGAACTCTTTTACTGGAAACAATGGCTTTTCAGGAGGGTATAGGCCCTTTGAAGAGAGAGAAGGTGGAAAACCATATGAAAAAAGAGGAGAATATGGTGGACCTCGTGGAGGCTTCCGTGGTGGTCGCCGTGGAGGGTTTGGCACAGGCGGTGAAGATGCTGCTGATGGCGAACGCCCAAGGAGGATGTATGAACGCCGAAGCGGAACTGGCCGTGGGTTAGTGTTACTTAAATTAGTACACTTAATGCTTTTTATTTTTTTTTGTTTAAATTCTTTTGTTAGCATTTAAAACTTTATAATGGTTTTTGGCATATGCAACTCGCCTCTATAATTGTTATTTGTAGGAATGAATTCAAACGTGAGGGTGCTGGACGTGCCAACTGGGGAACTCCCACTGATGAGATTGCTCCGTAAGAATTATGTTAAGCGTGAGATAAAGATTAGTTTTATTTTATTAGGTATTTGAATGGTAATATTCACGATGTCTTTTATGTATGTTCGGATTACTGAAGATGCTATGGAGAAAAAAATAGTTCCAAGGAAAATGTGTTGGAAATGAAACATGATTGTTATTTTAATGTTTTACAATAATTTAGATTCTTGTCTCTATAAAAAGACATAAGTGGATAATATATCAAGGAATATGTATAATAAATTAGTTGAGTTTATTCAAACTTGAATGCATCCGACATTTACTTTACTTCTATCTTTTCTATTATGCTTAGCTCCCTGTTTCTTTCCCTAGTGATCTCTATGAGCCAAACAGACCATTGTTTTATGTGGTTTAGTTCTTTTTCAGAGATACAGAGGAGCCATTTAATGAAGTTGAGAAGCCTGCTGATGCCGAGAAACAGCCTAATCCGGAAGATGCTGGAGATGCCACCAAGGATATTCCATCAAATGAGGCAGAGGAAAAGGAACCTGAGGAAAAGGTATAATAGTTCTTTTGTGACCAAAACCATCATTTCTCATGAAAATGCACTGGGTGTCAAATGAAATATCCATGTTTTGTGCCTAGTGTACAAGCAGCATTTCGTTTTCTCTCTAACCTTGTGTTGTATTAGATACGTTAGAGTCTGAAATTGGTACTAGTCTCCAGTTCATGATATACACAATTTTGTGTTCTTATATTTTGAAGTCTCAGTTCTTTCAAGCAAAACACTTCGGAAAATGATTTCTATGTTTTCTTGTTTTTAGAATAAAGAAGTAGCCAAGTAGTTTAAGTGATTCCTTGTTCTTACGTTGAAAATAACTTCACTTTGTTCCAAAACAGGTTTATGTATTCTATTACTCTGTATTTGATACGCAATCATTGACCTGCTTTCATCAGAAACACATTTTCTCATTATTTTTTTGGAATCAAACCAGGGCTAGCAGTAAAACAATACTTGTTTTCCTAGATTTGAAGTGTTACCGTCAGTCTTTTCTACCATAACATACCAAAATACTCAATTTTGTCTCTATACTTGCATTAATTTATAACATTCCTTTTTCTTGGCTTATCATCTAATAGGAGATGACTCTAGATGAATATGAAAAGTTACTGGAAGAGAAAAGGAAGGCTTTGCTTGCACTGAAGCCCGAGGAGAGAAAAGTGACTTTGGACAAGGAATTTGAATCTATGCAGCTGCTTTCAAGCAAGAAGAATGATGATGATGCTGTTTTCATTAAATTGGTGAGTTTCATATGAATGTGAACTGCCTGGCTGCATTTCTCTTTGGGTATCGAATTATTTTCCCCCAAGATTTGATTCGTGTCTATGTTAACATTCAGGCTTCTGATAAAGAAAAGAAAAAAGATGCCGGAGAGAAGGTTAAAAAGGTACTTGAATTTCCATTTTTTTTATTTTGATTAGAATTCATTAAAAAAAACTCACCACATATTGCCCGATTTGCCCCCTTCAAAACCCAACACCCAAATATAGCCTTGCGACAAAAAGCTTGGGGGACACAATCCATGACCCCTAAACTCATTCTCTTGCCTTACTCATTTTTCCCTGTCATTTACAACATACGCCTTAATGTTTTGCTTTTTCTTCTTCTGTCTCCAGACTAAAAACATTACTGAGTTTCTGAAACCTGCGGAAGGAGAATGCTACTACCCATCTGGTGGGCGTGGAAGAGGGGGACCCGGACGTGGACGTGGGCGTGGTGGCCGATATGCTGGAAATCAGTCCAATGCTGATTTCCCACCATCCACCGGCAGCAAGTCCAATGCTACTGCCCCATCCATTGAAGATGTGGGGCAGTTCCCTAGCCTGGGTTCCAAGTGAGTATTGAAGGAGGACCTCTTGAGTGGGTACCTCTAGCACTCTTTTTATGTACTACAAGTGTTTGTTGAACTTGTTTGTTTTGTTTTTAGTGTACAATTTAGATACCCTCTTGAGAAACTGAGATTTGTTCTCAGGTTTCTTCAGCTTTCTTGCTCTCTCAGTCTATGCTTTTTAGATTTTAGGTACTCTTTTTACAACTTTTTTTTTTACTTCTTGGGAACATCTCTGTTCTCGTACTTGTTTTTTCCCCAGGTTATGTATTTCTTTTTTCTTAAAAAAATATGAAATCATAAATATGCTCTCTAGTGTCTCTTACATTTTACAGTAATTAGAGCTATTTGTTTGAAAAAGTGACCTGCGGGGTTGTGAAAGTGACTTTTTGGAGAATAATAAAGAAAAGTAAAATGCTCCATATTGGATGTACTTTATGCAGCTGATAAAACATTAGAATTTCTATGATTCAATTGTCACGTGATTTTTTCCTTTAATTGTAATGTGAACATTTTTTCAATGTTCCAAAAAAAAATAGGAAACATACTTTGAGGCTTTGGGGTATTACATTGTCTTTTTGAAAGTTTAGATTGGTTTAATGTGCATGAATTGCTAGAAGTGAGCAAAAAAGAAAAAAATAAAATTGTCTTTTTGTATATGAAATTAGTTAACTTGAACTCTTAGATTATAAATTTTTGCCCAAAGTTTTGACATGGTATAAAATTCTCAATTTTATTTTTTCGTTTGGTGGATAATGCTCAATTGTGCGTTCAATCCAACTTTATCTTTTCATTTATTTTTTCAACCACATTTCATCATTTGATTTAGCTTTTTGAATATTTTTTGGTGTAAATTAACTTTGAAAATGCCTAGTTTTGAATGTGCTAACACTAAAAGCTATACTTAGTATCATTGAATAACATAAAAGCAATACTTAGTATCATTGAATAACATTTTCAGAGTATGAATTTAAACACCAATGTTAATTAGTTCAATTTAAACACAACGTTGAATTTAAACACTAATGTTGGGTGATTAAGAAAGTATGCTACAGAGAAGCAGATGTTACGGTGGATGTGTAGGAAGATATAATTGGATAAGATTTGGAATGAGATTGTTCAGGTGAGAATATTTAGAGACGTGTAGGATTGAACCTTGGGGAGGATAAGCTTCCAGAGATAAGATTGAGATGGTTTGCTGATGTGAAGCGATCTGCAACTGACTCGAAATGTGAGTGGCTTACAATAGTTGGAGGTTTTGAGGGGAGGGATAGGCTTGGAAAGAATTGAAAGAAGATGAATTATTTTTTTCGAAGATATGACCTTAGATAAGAATATCTAAAGATCTAGAATTACGGTAGTTGGTTAGTTGTTTGGATAGGAATGGTAGTCGTGTTCTTGTTAATGTCGTATTGTAGGCTTGGGCCTTCCTTTTTTGTCGGTGTGCCTTTTATCTTTTCTCTTTTTTCTTTCTACTAGTTTACGCTTTGATTTTTTTGCTCTATCCGTTCTTTATTCTTTTTGCGTTTTTCTTTCTGTTACTTTACACTTTGCTTGTTTTGCCTTATCTATTCTTTGTGCTCTTTGAGTTCAGGTCTTTTGGAAACAATTTCTCTACTTGTAGAGATAAAATTTGCATTTTGCTTTTTGTAGAACTATACGGATATGTTGTCGACACTAAAGTTAATGTCAAAGGGAGCTCTAATTGATGTTTCGTTACTTGAGTTCCTGTCACAAATGTGAGAAAATTTACATGATTTGTCTTCCCCCTATTGGCTCGATATAGGAAGCCCCAATCCTAAATGGTACATGTACGTCATATTTATGTCAGATTCCAAAGTTTGAAGAGTTTGAACTATATAAATAAATCATTTGTAAAAAAAGATAAATTTTGTTTTGGGCAAAGATATTTCACATTATCAGTGTCATAGTATGACATGAGATATCTTCGGTGACCGTTCACCAAATCAATAGTTTCTTGTCTGATAATCTTTGTAATTTCATTCAAGCACCCTCTTTTCCTCACACCCGTGATCGTTGATTTGGCGGTGGATGGGGGATGCTTGGATGGGGGCTGGGCTGGGGGGTGGGGGTTAGCTGAGGGTTACAATAGTGGATGTAGAGACAAATATTACTTGAGCAAAGTCATAGTAAAGAGTAGGGCCCATGATTTGACAATGGCAGATCCAAGAATTTATATGATGGGAGACACCGTTATAATAAAATGTAGGGCGATTTTTCAAAGGCAATTTAAAATGCCGAAAAAGAAATTAATTTTTATATAAAACAAGTATTCAAATAAGTAAAACAAAATATTTCAAAAGGTTTACTGGGAGCCACTGCCCCCATTAAATCTTGTGTCATACTCCCTCCGTCCTCAATTTAATTACAAATTGTGGGTTACGGAGTAACATTTTCTACTTTTTAAAATCATTTTATTTACGTATTGGTATATCAATAAGATATAAAAATTACATATTAAAAAAACTACGTCAAAAGTTCTACAAAACAAGAGCTGACAAAAATATTTTATTTTATCAAATAATTAATGAAATCGCGTAAACAAACAAAAATTATCGAGAGGAGAGAGAAAAAAATGTAATCTATTTAGGGACGGAGAGAGTATGACTTTGATAATCAATGTTAAAAGAATCATTTAATTTGTGTTAGTGTTTCAAAGTTTTGATTGTGGTGTACCCTACAAATCTATGTAAAAAGCATATTGGTATAATTTCTAAAAAACATAATTTCATTTTTTAAAATTTCAAAAGAATTAAAAAAAGAAAATTTAAGTCAAATAATTTCACCTTTTATTTCTTTGCGCAAAACAAGATTTTTATTTAAAATGGTGTGCAAAATCACGGATTTCTTCGGCATAATGTTAAAATTTGGATTGATTTTTAAAGATTGTATAAAGGTGATATTATATGAGACGGTTTTTCCATTTTTGTTTGTTTATAGATTGCCGAGAGAAGTTTAATTCAATTAATTGTCATTTGTCAAATTCACTCAATTAGCAGGTTCCAAAAAAGGGCTTTGCCGAAAGATGATACCAGTAGTGAAATGTACCGCCATCACCTCTCTCTTATTCACAGAAGAAGCAAAAATGTCTCCTCCACCTTCATCATCACAGCACTAAAACCCCACCCTCATTTCTCTTCACCTTCAATCCCATCGCCAAGAAACTTCCCCCATTTCTCGAGCTGCAATGGCCCATCTGAAGTCTCTTCCATTGTCTCCTCCAACAAGAAAATCACAGGTTATATTCGATCCGGGGATTTAGTCTCCGCCATTAGAGTCTTCGAGAGCATGACTGTGAGGACTACAGTAACTTGGAATTCCATTTTGGCCGGGATCTCAAGGGCGCCGGGGAAGTTGAACGACGCCCGTGAGATGTTCGATAAAATTCCTGAACCGGATGTGGTTTCCTTCAACACAATGTTAGCTTGTTATTTGAGCAATGGATGTGTTGCAGCTGCAAGGAGTTTCTTTGACGAGATGCCCGTTACAGATATTGCTTCTTGGAATACCATGATCACCGGGTTTTCCCGAAATGGGATGATGAGTGAAGCTTATAGACTGTTTGTGGCAATGCCCGTGAGGAATGAGGTGAGTTGGAATGCTATGATCTCAGGGTATGCTGAATCGGGAGATATGGAATTGGCATTGAAAATATTCAGCAAAGCACCTGAAAAGGGCCCGATTGCCAAGACTGCGATCATTACAGGGCATATGAAAAGAGGGGACATTGGATTAGCAGAGGAGATGTTTGAAGAGATGCCGGAGAAGAATTTGGTCACTTGGAATGCTGTTATTGCTGGTTACGTTGAGAATGGTAGAGCAGAAGATGGTCTGAAGTTGTTTCGGAAAATGGCAAAGATGAGGATTAAGGCAAACCCGTCTACGTTGAGTAGTGTTTTATTGGGTTGTAGTAACTTGTCTGCATTTAGGTTTGGGATGCAAGTTCATCAGCATGTCTGTAAGCTACCAATACGCTTTGATATGACCGTAGGGACTTCACTGGTTAGTATGTACTGCAAATGTGGAATCTTGGAGGATGCATGGAAGTTGTTTCTTGGTATGCCAAGAAAAGACGTCGTGAGCTGGAATGCAATGATTTCAGGCTATGCTCAGCATGGGAAGGGAGAGAAGGCTCTTCGTTTGTTTGGTGATATGAGAAACAATGGGATACGGCCTGATTGGATAAGTTTCGTTGGGGTTTTGTCAGCTTGTAACCATGCTGGTTTAGTTGACCTTGGGATTCATCATTTTGCGAAAATGCAGAAAGATTATGGAATCAAGCCTAAACCGGATCACATCACTTGTATGGTTGACCTTCTTGGTAGAGCTGGGAGGCTAGACGAAGCCGTTGATTTAATAACAAAAAATGCGGACACCAAACCCCACCCTGCCTTTTTCGGAACCCTTCTAGGCGCTTGTAGGACCCACAAAAATGTCCGAATTGCTGAGTTTGCTGCAAAACGTTTGCGTGATCTTGACCCTAGCAATGCAGTGGGCTATGTGGAACTTGCTAACGTTTGCGCCGCGAAAAACCAATGGGACGGTGTTTCCAGAGTGAGGAAGTTGATGAAGGAGAACCAAGTGATAAAAACCCCAGGGTATAGTTGGATGGAGTTCAAGGGTGGGTTCCACGAGTTCAGATCAGGTGACAGGCTTCATGCAGACTTGAAAGCCATACACGCGAAACTAAACGAATTGGAGATGAAGATGAAATCGGCAGGGTATGTGCCTGACCTCGAGTCTTCTTTGCACGACGTGGGGGAGGAACTGAAGGGGAAAATGCTTCTTTGGCACAGCGAGAAGCTGGCTATTGCTTTCGGGTTACTGAGAATCGCACCGGGGATACCCATTCGGATTTTCAAGAATCTTAGGGTTTGTCGGGATTGCCACACGGCCACAAAGATCATTTCTGCAATTGAAGGGAGAGAGATCATTGTCAGAGATACCACAAGGTTTCACCATTTCAAGGATGGAACTTGTTCATGCAATGACTACTGGTAATGAAAGAAAAAAAAAACATTAGTCTAGGGGAATCTCTTTTGTATGGGACAATTTTTTTTCAAGTTTTAAAAGTAGTTAGACAGATTCCATACTCCAATATTGAGACTCTATTATCCAAATTCAGATTTTAGTTAAAAGTAATGTCCTATATTGTTATAGGGTGGTGATAGTCACATCCCACCCAAACACTAACTTCACTCCAAATTCACTCCATTCATTTAAATTTTTTTAAATACTTAATCATAAAAATTATTTTTAATCCATGAACTCATATAGAAAATTTTGCAATTTTAAGATTTTGATAAAAAATCTATTTTGAATCACAATACAATAATATTTTTAAAACAATAACGTTTTATTCTACTAAATATGGAGTATATTTTAATTATTAGATATGATATGTTTTTAAAATATAACTTGTAGTTTTAATAATAATTCAAATTTATTAACATTTATGTAGATTTTTGTTCTTGAAAAGAAATAAAAGAGAATGATTTTAAAGATTCTACTCCGTATAAAGCTTTTTTAAAGCAAAATTTATAAAACCATCTTTATAAAATAATAAAATAACCATGTAGATTAAAAAAATGGTGAAATGCGTATAGGTATAGTACTTAGAAAATACGGAGTAGAAGATTTTATATAAAATCAATGGTTATTCAATGCATTAACAAAAAAAGTTATTTTAATTAATGAAAAATTATAAAGAAGAGGCGCCAAAGTTTTATAACTAAAATTAAAATTTATACTATTTTATTTGAAAATTAATAAAATGAAATGAATGGTGTATAGTTTTAAACATTTATTTATAAAGTTTTTTAACTTAATCAAGTTATATAACTTTGAATAATAACATAATAATGTCTACGTGGTGTATTTAGTTGACAGGAGTATTTTAATGTTTTAGTGAGTGTGACTATCACCACCCATTGTTAAATCGGCACATTTCGTTCATGTGACATTGCAAAACAATGTCATAGCATGTCTAGAAATTATTAATAAAGGATCAAAGAAGTAAAAATAATTAAATTCATTTTTAGGCACATTCCAATTTAGAAAATTCAATTCTTTAAAACTCCATACTTTCTCATTCCAAAGACAAGAATTTCAATTTAATTTCATATCATTTAAAGTTTCCAAATGCCTTCCTAAAATTTCGGGGACTAATTTCTTTCCCTTGTTTTAGTGTCATTTTTATGCTTTGGCAGGCATTCATGTGCAATCACTCCAANTTCTCTCCTTCCCCTCCCTTCTTTCCCTTCTCTCTCCTTTCTTTGATGATTTCTGGGAAACAACCCACACTAAACTTACCCATCTTTCTTTGGGTGGACTGCTGTGGCTCTTTCTTGGAAATGTTGGCACCAATAGACACTATTGAAGATTATTGAATATTCGAGTTTGACTCCGCCGTATGGATTATTGTGCTCTCATGCTGGAACTGTAATTGTAAACTTTACCTCTTGTGGTTCTCATTGGTAACTGTGTTTGGCTTGTAATGTTTAGCTTATTTGTATTTTAATTTGGGATTGTAACTTTCTTTTGATGCGTGTAACCATTATCATGGTTAAGCATTTGACATTGATGTATTTGTTTGATTTGGATAATAATTTACATGTTACCCGAGACGGTAAACTAAGGTGTTAACACCCAATGCTAGGTTGATATGAAATATTACGCTGATTATTGTTGATTGTTGAATATGACGAATGAACCATGATTTAATGAACCATGATTTAATGATGAATATACAATAATGAAATGTTATTGACAAGAATTGATTACTCTCCTTTTGTTTTGCTATGAACTTGTTTGAGATACATTGCTATTACATGACATTGTCGCTATAACTTTTGGTGGATGATGATGTTTTTTTATGGATGATGTTAGTAACTTGTTATGGATATTGATTTGTTGATGTGGTTTATGTTGTGGATTGACTATTATCCTTATTATTTATATTTGTTAATGTCTTGGAAATATTGTTCTTCCTTTAGAACATATTGTTCCTTTGTACCAAATTGTTAGTAGTTACCTTTTAAAGGAAACTCTTGCAAACTTTTTAAGAAAAATTGCCTTTTCGGCTATCCTTCAAACTCCCAGCATCGATTAAGGGGAAAAGTTATCGGTTGATAATGCCAAAAGGGGGAAAGAATAATAGTTGAGAAAATATTTTTTTCAAAACATCTTTTCCGCTTTCAAACTCCAAACCTTTTTACTACACTTTTCTAACCTTGCAGGGGGGATTTCACTTAAGGGAATTATTTCTTGAACTCGCACTTTTCTATTTCTCAACTATGTTTGTCATTATTAAAAGAGGAGGAATTGTTGGACATGAGTTCAAACCTCTTTTAGATATTCTGGAATATTTTTCAGGTTTAGATAAATGACAAACAGGATGATTAAAACCAAAGATGATCGAAAATTCATTTTCGTATCGAGAAAAGCAAAGAGGTGTATCAAGAAACTTACAGTGATAAAATTCAATGCTCGCCCCTACACAATTTTTTAAGAGAAGTGAAGATTCTGAAGACTATTAATTTTATTGAGTCTACGAATTTTTGTAAGGATGAAAATCATTTTTGCATAAACAAATTACTTTTTTGAGAGATAAATTATTATTTTCTGAGTCAACTGGAAAATCAATTTTTTTCTATTTAAAATATAACTTACTGGGTAAGTTACAAAATAGTGTCAAAATTTCTTAAAATATTTTTAAGGTACACAAATATTTTTTTGTAATAAGAAAAATATACTTTAAATTTTTTCGTGTACACCGGTTGACACAAAATATTTTTGGACTCAACTTCTACACCATAAATTCATTTCTTAATTCAAATTTTGAATTTGAATTAAACTCAATTAACTTATTTGATTTGTTTGTTTTTGGGAGCCTCTTCATCTCTGAAAACATGTTTAAAACAAACCAAAAAAGTTTGGAGATTGTTCTTTAGGGGGATCGATCCACTGTTTGGATTGATCCAGTGTGCTGAGTCTCGATCAGGTGATCGATCCATGGTCTTGGATCAATCCAATTTTATCCAAGATTTTATTTGGAGGATCGATCCACGAGGTTAGATCGATCCCCCGTGGCCTAGATAAAAAATCATTCCAAGTCTTTAACTCGGGGTGATCAATCCCCAACAGTAAAATCTGTCAAAAACATTTCATCCCTACCTCCAACGGATTTATTTCCTTCAACCCTATAAAATCCCTCATCCTCCTTCATCAAACGCACAATTCTTGCACTCTTTTCATCCCTTCCTTCATATTCAACTTCGTGTTTCAATTCTCATCATCAAATATATTATTTTGAGAGGTAAGAATATTATTTTTGAGTGCTAAATGAGATTGTCATCCATAAAGCTTTCATATTTCAAACACTACTTACTCAATTGTGTGAGCTTTCATTCTTGTGTTGTAAAACTCAATCTTGTTTGAGTTGTTGCTAAGACTTGTGTGATTCAAGTCTTTTTGGTTGTAGTTAAGACTTGTGTGACTCAAGTCTTGTCGTAAGAAGTTGAGGCTTGTGATAGTCAAGCTCTCGAGTTGTATCGTTATTTCAAGCACCCGTTGAAACTTGAAGATTAGTAGGACCCTTGATAGAGTTTCTTAGAGGACTGGACTAGCCACGAGGTGGTGAGCCAGTATACATCGCGATGTTCTTCTTTCGCTTACTTTTTACATATTTTCTGCAATTTTTTATTTCGTTTATACGCACACGCGAAAAATGCTCATTCTAGAAAACAACTATATTCACCCCCTCTAGAGTTGCACGTTTTGTGTAACACTTGAGTGGCCCCTAACTCATCTTCCATTTCAACCTCAAAATCGCGGATGTGAATATCATCTTCGACTTGTTCATTATGAGTATAGCTAGCCACTCTCGGAATGCTAGCTAGGAAAGTCTTATCCATACCAGTTTCAACCGTAGTTGTGGAACAAGAATTCAATTCTAGAGACAACATTCTAATCGACTATCGAAGTTGTCTTAGCGCTGAGTCGCTTGAGACTCTTCTTTGCAACCGAGATTGGCTCTTGGCAAAATATCGAGCTCAACAATTAGGGTATGACTTTGAAACCCAAAATTACATGAATGCAACCACAGAGGAAATCCGGTAGTTCAGAGGAATAAATTTTTATATTGTAATAAGGTTTTTTTACTAAATGTAGTTGTTTTTGTACTATTCACTTTTTCATTATTTAAATAACTACATTTTTAGAAATTATAATTTATACGAACATTTAATTTATTTTACACTTACACATTTACAATTACAAAAAAAAGTAAGGGAACCACTGAAACTAGCCCGATACCACCGATACTGGAACCGGCACCGGCACCGTAACATCCAGCGCCAGTAACGGTGCAAAGGGGTGGCAGTACAAGAACCAACGGTCCGTATCGTGTCCACCCCTCATGGAGGTATACGTACTTTGAAAACATTTTTTACTGCATCATCTCTCTTCCATATATCAACGCCACATCAAATTCCACTAATTTCATTCTTTTCATCCTATAAGTACATACTTCAATTCGCTAACTTACCAAAATCATTTTTAAATAATAAACTTAATTGCAATCCATTTAATTAATAACCCATTTATTTATTAATTGCAATCCATTTAATTAAAAACCCATTTATTTATTTATTTGAAAACTTTAGGGTAGTTTTAAAAAAAACCCTTTGTTATGAGATCAAAAATTAGGTTTTTTTTTAGAATGTGGCTTTAAAATGGGTATGAAAACACATAAACAGAGTAGGTTGAAATCTTACTAATTTAAAATATGTTTTAAATTTTTTTAACAATAACTAAAATTGTTTAAACATTTTACATATAAAAGATGTATAAATGAATAGTCTAAAGTAAGATGTTGTACGGACGGTAAGTATATAGAAATAGATGCCAAATTTTTTTTTGGTAAAGGGATGGAATGGTGTTAACCTCCATATCAAAATGCCACATAAATATATTTTGGTACCAAATTGACTTTACCAAGGCCATGTCGTGCACCCTAAGTACATGCATTTTTAAAAACAAGCAAATTAGGAAGAGAATATAAGGTCGTTAAATAAAAAATAAAGACAATATAATAGCGATTATTAGGAAGCCATTAAGTAATTTGAAATCATAGTATCTACTCAAGATCCTCCCGGCGAAACCCGTTTGACCCGCTGAACCATCCAGTTCGAGTATACCTGTTCGGCTTACGGGTCTAGAATTTTTCAAAGCACAAATGTAATTGAAATGATATAATGCAAATTAGACATATCAATAAACCAAACTCCGTATGACAACATATGTGGACAACCAGATGAAACAAGCAAATACTAAGTAGGCATAATCAAACCATCGTGTGCACCTCCTCCAATTAAGTGAAGGAGAGTGACAATCTAACTGTTTTCACATGAATATGAAAAGAATCTAAAAGCCTTGGTGTTTTTCTAAAAAATGCCTTAAAAAATTTCAAGTATATTGCTAGCAAAAAGAATGAATGTAGAAGAAACATCTGTGGCCCTCTATTCACACAACAACATGACGTCACATAGCCTCACGTTGCGCCACCATGCGAACATAGTCGACTGCACACACTTTCAAGCTGGGGTTCGGTTTGTGACGACCGAACAGGGGCGCAAACACAGAACTTTAGAAGTATGACCTTGTTAGGCGAAGGTCGACCCCCTGCAATTAACAAAAAAAATCCATATTCTTATATACACATGGGTTGTATGGATGTATATGTATGTATGTATGCATGCATGTATAGGTACCCGAAAGCGAACACCATCCGATGCAATAGCATTAGAGGTCTCTTCATCTTTACCGAAGGTCAAAAAACCAGATCTCCCATGTCTGAATATGGTCACTCCAATGATTGTTTGGCCTTTACAAAACATTGAAATTAAAATAAAAATAACAATAAACAAAAGTAGGCTCGAAAACGTTCATCTTCTCAACATACAACCCCTACCAATGTTTGCCGATTAGATCCAAGCTTTCATTCAAGAATGTCATGAGCGTCTGCTCCCTCTGGCAGGTTTGACACATAGAGCGTCTTGTAAACATGAGGATCGGTACAACGCATTACCATATACCACCTTGCTGCATTCATCGTGTCCATTTTTCTGCATAAAATTCTTGCAATATGAATTACTAAGAACCATACTCTATTCAATTAGAAAGGAAGGAAGCATGAAGAACCTTTTGAAAGAATCAGGTTCCAGCTCCCTAATGTTTCCAGCATTGCACATGGATGGGTTTGTTTTATCTCTTTAAAAGCTCACACTTGTTAGGGTTAATTGTCTATGAAGTCCTCTAGTTTCTGATGAAACTAGATGAGGTTAAAGAAACTTAATTCCCTTCTTATTCATAACCATATGCAAAAGTGGTATCACCACTTTTTGTTGTCAGAATATTAAATGTAGTTGTTTTTGTACTATTTATTTTTTCATTATTTAAAAAACAATCACATTCTTAGAAATTACAATTTATAAGAATATTTAATTTATTTTACACTTACACATTTACAATTACCAAAAAACAAGGGAACCACCGAAACCAGCCCGAAACCACCGGTATTGGAACCACTGCCAGTAACATCCAGCACAGATAACGGTGCAAAGGGGTGGCGGTACAGGAACTGACGGTCTGTATCGTGTCCACCCCTAGTGGAGGGTATACATTGAATTTGTTGCAAGATACGGACCATTGGTTCCTGTACCACCACCCCTTTGCACCGTTATCGGAGCCGGATGTCATGATGCTGGCAGTGATTCCAATACCGGTGGTTTCAGGCTGGTTTCGGTGGTTCCCTTGCTTTTTTGGTAATTGTAAATGTGTAAATGTAAAATAAATATTGTTATAAATTATAATTTCTAAGAATGTAATTGTTATTTACATAATGAAAATATCAATAGAAAAAAAACAACTACATTTAGTATCCTGACGACTAAAAGTGGTGATACCACTTTTGCATATGGTTCTGAATGAAGATGGAATTAAGTTTCTTTAACCTGATCTAGTTTCATCAAAAACTAGAGGACTCCATAAACAATTAACCCTGACAAGTGTATGTTTTTAAAGAGATAAAACACACCCATCCATGAACAATGTTGGAAACATTAGGGTGATGGAACTTGATTCTTTCAAAAGGTTCATCATGCTTCCTTCCTTTCTGATTGAACACAGTATGGTTCCTAGTAATTCATATTGCAAGAATTTTATGCAGCAAAATGGACACAATGAATGCAGCAAGGTGGTATATGATAATGCATTGTACCAATCCTCATGTTTACAAGACGCTCTATGTGCCAAACCTGCCAACAGGAATACACGAGCAGACGCTCATGACATTCTTGAATGAAAGCTTGAATCAAATCGGAGCAAAAATCGCTAGGGATTGTATGTTGAGAAGATGAACGTTTTCGAGCCTACTTTTGTTTATTGTTAATTTCATTTTAATTTCAATGTTTTGTAAAGGCCAAGCAATCATTGGAGTGACCATTTTCAGACATGGGAGACCTGGTTTTTTGACCTTCGGTAAAGTTGAAGAAACCTCTAATGCTATTGCATTGGATGGTGTTCGCTTTGGGGTACCTATACATGCATGCATGCATACATACATACATACATACATACATACATACATACATACATACATACATACATACATACATACATACATACATACATACATACATACATACATACACACACACACACACATCCATATATGCATATACATCCATACAACTCATGTGTATATAAGAATATGGAATTTTTTTTATTGCAGGGGGTCGACTCTCGCCTAACAAGGTCGTACTTCTACAGTCCTGTGTTTGCGCTCCTGTTCGGTCGTCACAAACAAAGCCCCAACTTGAAAGTGGGTGCAGTCGACTATGTTCGTGTGGTGGCGCACCGTGAGGCTATGTGACGTCATGTTGTTGTGTAAATAGAGGACCACAAATGTTTCTTCTACATTCATTCTTTTTGCTAGGAATATACTTGAAATTGTTTTAGGCATTTTTCCTTTTTTTTACATATTTTAAAAAAAAGAAAAATATACCAAGGCTTTTAGATTCTGTTCATATTCATGTGAAAACAGTTAGATTGTCACTCTCCTTCACTTAATTGGAGGAGGTGCACACGATGGTTTGATTATGCCTACTTAGTATTTGCTTGTTTCATCTGGTTGTCCACATATGTTGCCATACAGAGTTTGGTTCATTGATATCTCTAATTTGCATTAAATCATTTCAATTACATTCGCCCTTACGGTACCTGGGTACCAGTCTTACAGTATTGGAGTACCGTCCAAACTAATTGATCCCTTCCGTTAAGACTGCCCCGGTAGCTGTCTACCGACCGGGCGATAGGGCCTACTATCTGTCTGGTACTTAGATACCGTACCGTCGCAGCTACCGGCAGAGGCAAAAGAACAAACAGAGTGTGACGATAGCACGTTACCGTCCCGATGATACCGCCTACTATCTGACACAACAATTTTCATATTTACATCTGTTTTGCTTTCCATCATCAAACCAATAGCAAACTCAAAATCAACAACGCCAATATGTTCAAATAAACATTTTAAACATTATCACACACTCACTCATCAATCAATGCCTAAATCATGCATACTACCCTTTTTGATTCAATGACAACAATTCTCAAAACAATAACCAACAATTAAATGGATAAATCACATAGATCAACCACGATAATGATTAAGAACGGAATTTCAAACCTAGATGCATATTCTTGTGTTAGATGTCAACGTACTCACCTCGATTCGTTCAATTCGATTCAAAAGAACGTCGCTCGAAAGTTATCCTCGAGGACTCGCACCCCACTACCCAAGTTGGTACCGTTGCCCATACTTCTCGCCATGGCCAGGGTTCCATCGCTGCTGCCCGTCGCCTGCCGGTGGTTGACGTTGTCTAAGAAGGCCGCTGGAGTTGCTGCCAGACCAGACCGAACTTGCCGTCGTACCCTCGCCGGAGTATTGACAGATCACGGCCGTCCCTGCCTCGCCAAATCCGAGAGTGGGCCTCGGGGAACTGGTCGTCGTTTTGCTGGGTTGACGCGCTGAGTCACCCCGCCGGAGGATTTGCCGGTTCGCGCTGCTGCTCGCTGAGGTCAACGCCGGAAGGAGTCGCCGGGTTGAGGCCAGTCGTGCCCCTCCACGAAATCTGAGAGAAAGGAGTCGGTAAGGGAGCTTGCCGGAGATCCAATTGCCGCAGGCCGTCGCTGGTCACCGTCGCCGTGCCCCTGTGCTGCTGTGATGGATCGACCAAGAAGGATGGAGGGTGGCGGCGGTTCGATTAGGGCAGAAAGAAACGAAGGAAAAATACTCTAGGCTTTGCAGTTATTGTTACTCCCTATTTAAAATAGCTTCTCTGATTAAAACACACTTTTCGGGCTAATTTGCTCCGAATTTAGATTTGTTAGTATTGTTGGGTTAGGTTCGTCGATTCCTACCCAACGATATAACTTTTATAATCAATCAGTGAGTGTTTATAAGTCCCACCCGGTCCGTCTTAATTATGTCGATTAATTAATACCGATTAGTCTTTTAATTTAAATTTTACAAAAATTATCAGATTAGTCATGTTATATTAAGACAATTAGAATATCTAAATTATCTTTTATCTAGCATTTTCACCCGTGCGATGCACGGGGTCGATGAAACTTTTGTCTATTCTGAATTTTTGTAATGCAATATATTTTCTGGATCAAGTAAATATATTTCTAACACGTTTTTTTTATCATTGGACAAAAACACCTAGGTAGAATAAATAATATTTGAGAAATTGAAAATATACTAAAAAATGTCTTTATTAATTCCAAACTTGTTGGCATGAAGAATAAGAAATTAAGTAGTACTTTTCACCTCATGGAATAAAGGATAAGAAAAATTCATTTACCATTCAACAACCTCGAGCACGGGTGCCAATAGTGCACTATCTTAAAAAAAAGAATATAATAGTTTTTTATGTTCTCCAATAAGTTCGAATAAGTGAAGTTCACTATATTCTTGAGAAATAAATTTTCTTAAGAATCAAGATCTTTAACTATTAGAGCACCAACTTCATGTATTATGGAGATATTATAATTTCTTGAGTCTCTAGTTTTCTTTGTCAACAACCTCAATGATACATTAGAAGTAGGCTCATTATATATGAGATCTTACTTCTCAACAGTCTCAATGATACATTAGAAGTAGGCTCATTATCCATGAAGTCTTTAGTTCTTCTAAATATCTGTGTTAAAACATTATGCTCATCTACCATATTTTTCAAATCTTTGACCAAACTTTTATCAGTAGTCAAAGAATTATTCTCCTTACTGTGCGAAACAAATAGAACAATTTGTTTTTATTAGCATGTTAATAATGTTTCATGTGTATTATATTGTCAAACACATGTAAATAATACTTTTATTAAAATGGTGTACTCAATAAAGTATTCGAGATACCTAAAAAGAGTTATTTGTTTTCATATCTCGTTCTGTATACCATAAATATACAATTGTGTAAATTTT